ACTAATAGCTTTATCATTAATCTTATAGAGCTATCAGCTTGCTGATATGCATTAATGCTGATATAACTCTGATAGATATCTGATATTAGTCAAAGTTCTGGTCTATATCAGGTTTATATCAGCATCAACAAAATACTAATATAGACCCAATAAAGATATGATATTTTTATTTCGACCTGTGCATTAAGTAGGATTTTAATTTTAAATAAGTTTAGTAAGATGCTTGAAAACTATATAAATAGTTAAAATTTTTTTAATTATTAATATATAATCAAGTAGCTTGCTAATTGATATAAGAAGTAATATGAGTTTACTATTTAAAATAGTTTTAAAATAACTAAAGAGCATAGCAGTTACAGGACATGTCTGCTTTAATGATCTTATTAAAATTATTCTTTGTATAATATAAAGTTGCTGTGACTTTTTTTAAATATTTTAACTAATTAATAGCAAGCAATATTCTAGCTTTAAATATGATTTATTTTTTAAGTTTTATATTTTTATTTTATATCAGAAATAGTTATATTTTTTAAATTTTTGTAAAAATAAAATTAGATCCAAAATTTGCAATTTTTTAATACAAATGTCAAGATTTTTTTTAAATACTGTAAAATAAACCCAGCTTTACTTTATTAGTAATAGCAAATAAAGAATATTACAAACTCATTATTGTCACAAAAGTATTTTAGTTGTAGCTTTTAGGTGTTTATTAGGAGATGCTCTTTAATAAAATAAATAAAATGCTAATTTAAACTATTTTTATCTTTATTTTCTTCTGTAAACTTTATAAAATGATTTTAACCAAACCAAAACATTTATATATATAAAGACCTTCAAATTTATATTAATTATTTTTTAATTTTAAATATTAGACAAATATGATCTGTATTAAAGCTTGAAATATTAAATTACTATATTTTGTTTGCCAAAATATCCCAAATTTTTTTAAAAATTTATTTTAAAGCTTAAAGTAACTTAAAATCTGAATATTTAAAAAAATTCTTAGATATTTATAAGAAATATTATATTGTTATATTAGTTAATTTTATTAGCATATTTTAGAAGATTTTATTAGTATATTTTATTGGTATAATTTATATTTATTATATGTTTATTTTTAGCTTTAGTTTAATAGTAAAATTTTTGACAAATAGTAGTAATTTTAGTATAGTATTAGGTACATTAACAGATATGTTAACAGGTACATTAACTGGTATATTAACTGGTATATTAATAGATACGTTAACAGGTACGTTAACTGATACATTAACTGAATTGTTAAAAGAGTTGTTAATTAGGTTATTAAAAGGGTCATTAACTGGGTTGTTAAAAGAGTTAACTGGGTTGTTAACTGGGTCATTAACTAAGTCGTTAACTGGGTTGTTAACTGGGTCATTAACTGGGTCATTAACTAGGCCGTTAATTGGGTTGTTAACTAATAGCCCAAAAGATATAAAAACCCTGCCTTTTTCCCCAAAGCAGAGCAGACTGTCTCCTCCTCACTTTTAATTCCTTGTTATTTACAATTTATTTTCTTAGAAATGTAGCCATTGGCTATCTTCTTTTTATTATGTTTAATAAAGATTTATTGTGTCTTTATTGTGTATTTAAAATTGAGCTATCACCTTTTCTTTCTTCTTTGAGTATTTATTTTGGTATATTGAGTTGAGCCATCACCTCTTCTCCCTTTTCTTAAATATTTTATTGTATTTTAGAATTAGAGCCATCACCTCTTTTCTTTATTTTTGGTTTATTGTTTTACTTTAAAGTTTTTTTAGTCTTCTTTCTTATTTTATTCTTTTCTTGTTTGCAAACACATTTCTTAACTCTTTTATATGTTAAGTCAAGTAGTATAGCTTTACTAAGACTCTGTATTGTTATATTACAATATATAAAGATATTTTAATAAATAGAATATGATATATAATAGTTAAATTCTAAAATTAATAAAGGCAAGCCATGTAATTTATTTTAAACTTTCTTATTTTTAAATTTATTAAATAGTGCTTAACTCTTTCATTTGTTCAATCTGAAGAAACTGTATTAAGATCTGATATACTGCTTCTTGAATTTCATTTTTAGATATTATATTTACAAGTTCAAATAATTATGAAGAATTGTTTTTTTTATTTCTAAAGTAGTGCAATACAAATGTTTTAAAGAATTAACAGAAGAAAAAGTTTGCTTTGAAATTAAAGTATTCTACTGTTGAACATTTATTCTTGAATAAAGTTGCTTACTTATTTATATTTTTGCTTTTTTATACTTTTAATCTAATAATAAGTATAATAATTTATATTTTGTACATAATGTTCAGAGGTTTAAAGCTTGGTTTGTATATATCTTGTGCAAGTATCTCTTGAAAGCATAATTTGCCAGTTTTATAGAAACAAAGTATATTCTTAATACCATCTTTTCTAATTTTTGATATATCTTCGAACAAGTAATGTGTTGCAAGATTTAGATAATTAAAGATATAAACAGATTTGTAATTAGAGATCAGAGTAAATCTTTATATAACTTAGTTGTATAAAAATTTTGGCTTATCATAGCATTATCAATATATTTTGCAAAAAGAATTAATAGTTGATTTCTCTTGCTCTGGGCTGCTTTAATTTTTAATATTATAGTTTCTTGATCAATAATATTACTAATTATATTTTGCTTAATGAATTTTATACTATATATTTCAAGTATTTTATCAAAAGCAAAATAATGTTTTTTGCTTGTAAAATTAATTGAATACACTATTTATAATAATTTTTGTAGCTGAATTTGGGCCTTATAAGCTTATTAATTAAGTTTCTAAACCCCTACAGACAAGATTAATAATTTGAGTTAGGCTAGTAGCAAATTTTCAAGTTTGTTATTTTAAGCATAGACAGTACTATTTTAAAATTATATATAAATTTAATGGCAAATTTTTTTTATATTTGATTTTATAAAAAATTTTATTAAGCAAACTAATTTTGATTACTATTTAAATTTTATAAAATAGAAAGGTGTAGTGACTTAATGAAGTGGTTAAGTTGTTGCACCTTCAAGCAGTATGTTGGCAGGTGGGGTTTTGAAATTCACCGATAACAAAATTTTAAATATTCTGCTTATACAACGGCTACTGTCTTTTGACAATCAGTTGAACCAGAATTTCTGTAACCTTGGTGGCATCAACAAGATTGGAAAATCATAGGGCATTTGTACAATGTATAAGTTATATGAAGGTATACAAGCTGGTATTAGTTGGTACAAACTCAAGATAAGATCTTGTATTCATATAAATCTAGAGAACCAGAAAGACAGATGCCCACTTAGCAAGATCTGAGTAGAGAGATAGTACAAACCTTTAATAGTGGCTACTGAAATAAACTTCACTCAAGGCTGGCATAACCAGACAAGGATCAGATATTCAGAGGAAAGGTACTTTACCAACCAGGTTGCTAGAATCACTGGAGGAAAAGGATTTGCAATACAGATACCAAAGGACTGGTGTCTTATCTGGACCATCTGAATTGATAGTCTGGGAAGACTGGCTAGACGAATACTTATTTGTGCTTATAATACAAACCTTATTTGAAATTAATCAGCAATATATTAGATACTATTATAGTATTAATGTTTCTCACTTTTAAACTGTGCTTTTACAAGTTTTAAAAATTTTTTAAAACCTATTCAGAAATGTTGTATATATTTAAAGTAATATATTAAAAGTTATAAAACTGACTGATCAAATTATAAGAAGAAACAATTCAAATTATAAGAAGAAACAATTAACTAATTTTATTTAAGTTTAAATTTTTTTAAATTGTATTCATTCAAAATATTACAAAATATAATTAAGTATAGATAAAAAATTTTAATATATATAAAATTTGTTTGTTTTAAAATTAATAAAGAAAAGTTTAAACAATGTCAAAATAAAAAAATTTCAAATGCATCATGCACTGGCATTCATCATTACAATTTTATTTTAATCAATTATTAAAATAGGTTTCATGAAATAAATTTGTAAATATTCATATATTTAATAAATTATTTTACAATATATATTATTTAATAAATTCAATTATATTTATTATATTTGTAAAACTTTCTGATAGATGTATGCAAATAAACAATTTTATATATTTGTTAATAAGTTTGTTTCAAACTGAATTTATGAGTATACAGTTAGCATTTTTTATACTGAACTTATAGTTCTTATAAATATATTTCAGTTTAGATGATTTGGTTTTAAACCAAACTTATTAACAATATTTAAGTTTTGAAATTCAGCTTATAGAATTTATTAAGTGCTCAGTTTAGAGAGTGATAACTGTATGTTTTATAAATAGCAGATTTATGAAATTGGCCTAAATTCAGGTCTATAGACTTTAATAATACGATCATAAAACAGATTCCAAAATTTTAGCTATTATGTATACTATGCATATATTATATATATTGTTAAATCTAGTGCCCCAAACTTAGACAAATTTCATGTCAATATTAATACCTCAAGCTTAAACATAAATTTATCAAAGCAAAATAGTTATGCTGTGTCTAATGCATAAATCTGGCTAAAGTGAAACCAACCAATAAATTAACTAATCAGTACTAATCAAATGTGTTGGTTTTAGCTCTGCTAAGTTTGTATTAGATGCCACGTTTATAAGAAGTACATCTACATAAAAAGTGAAACATCATATGATAACTCAAATAGAATAATAACGTGAAATAAATATTATTAGTTATGCTAATCAAAGAAGGAAATTGACAAAAGAACACTTACCAAAATTGTATTGTAAAAATCTATTGTATATTATATCACCTTTAAAAGAATTAAATAGTTATTGCCAGTATATGAATTTGAAAATAGAGAGCAAATTATTATCTAAAACCTTTATACAATTTATCGAATGTTTGAACTTATATATAAAGATTATAATTTCTTAATAAATTTGTATTAAGAATTTTAAATACAGTATATAAACAAGAATCTTATAGAATATACTTACTATAATATGCAAGCTGCTCAAGTTTTTAAATATGATATCAAAGATTATACAGATGACAATAAAGCAAGTCTGAAAAGATTATTTGATTATTTTGATCAATTTATAGAATTTCTTCAAGAATCAGCTATAAGTCCTAATTATCTGCCTGCTAGTGCTATTTTAATTGAATATAATAGAAATTCTAAACATAATAGATCGATTGAAGAGGCTGAATATCTTGTCCCTATAAATACAAATTTTTATAAATAGGTGCAACAGTTTGGTAAAATAACTGATGCAACTTATATTAGACGACAAACAGAACAGGATAATGGAAATGTCATTTTGCAAACTACTTACAAATGTCATTGTTCAGAGACTTATCAATTTATAGTAGGTTAAAGCTATTCTAATAAAAAGCCAAAGTTACTTGAAAGCTTGGGAATATGACGGCCAGACTCAATGTACAGAGCAGGCTACAAGTTCTTTAAAAACTGTAAGAGCCGGATATATGGTAAACGAATATGTAAAAGATACTAATCAGACAAGTTTGCTACCAACATCTTTAGAATCCCACAACTTGTCAACATGTTATAACAAATTTCTACAATATCACAACCTACCAATAATCACAACAAAAGCTACAATTGCATCATTTCTCCAACATCTACAACAAAATATACCAACAGATTTTAAATCTAACTTAATATTTTCAATACACAACTCATATTAAGAGGCATATATATACCTACCCAATGAAGCAACCTTACTTCAGAATTATACTCAACTAACTATTAAAACAATTAAAACATTCCTGCATATCCCACTTAAATCATATACTAATACATATTCTGCCACTCTAACCCATATATTCAATGAACCAAACATTGAAAACAATCTATTTCTAGAGAATAAACACGAAGCCACTCAACAAACCACCTACTATTACCAAGACAATCAACTGATATTCTCTGAAAACCAACAAAACTCCAACTTCTCCCTAACTTTAAACATTGCTATACACAATGTACAAGGATTTAACATGCCAGAAAAAAGACTTCTATAGGAAAACTACTGTCAAACTCACAACTTGCATATAGTTAGTCTCACATAAACAAAGATTTCTAGCAATACAAACACAAAATTTTTCAATACAAACTATTACTTATACTACTGGTCCAACTTACCAGACACCAAAGAAGGCATATGTATTATGATCCAAAAACAACTCCAGTCACACATTCACAATATTCTTAACCACCCAGGTGGTGCAATTGCAATAAACCTATTCTTCAAAAATGATCACAAATTTAGAATTATTTCTGTTTACCTCTCATCAACTAATACAACCAATTGTAAACTAACACAAAACAAAGTAATAACATAGATACAACAAGCCATAATACTAAATTTGCATCTAATCATCCTTGGTAATTTTAATGCAAACACATATACAATCACATCATCAGCCATCAAGTTTTAACTACTTAACTACCTACATAGTACCATCATGTATAACTTGGCTAATTACACAACCAATCTATAACATATATAGCAAAGCACCAGATATCAAACTAGAATTAATTACATATGGGCTAATAATATACTAATATCATATTTACACAAATTTAAAATTGATAACTCATCCTTCTCAACAAATAGCAATCATTAGATCCTAATATCAATCTGGTCATTTCCATTTGCACTTTCTAAACCAAATTAGAAATCTAAATGTAAAAAAGAGTGTCTAAAGAGAACTGAGAATCCTTTGCAAACAAAGTCAACACAAATATGATAATACATCAAGTCCCTACTAATATCAACACAACAGAAAGTCTTGAAACAACATGATACAAAATATATACCTGTATCATTAATGCAGCATTTCAACTTATCCTAAACAAGAAAATAATAAACAAAAACTTTTATCATACATTTACCCCTAAAGCAAAACAATTGAACATATAATACATCATGTTCAAAAATACTTTACATACAACATCCCATTACTAGACAACATACTTGAACTAATCAACAACATTAATACTAAACACAGCTTTACTATTTAAGCCCCACCACAACACTAAGCTGATCTGGCTCTTTGGATACAAAATACTAAAAAATACTGAAAAACTTTATATAATGCAAGAAATCTTGAAAATGCACAACACTTAAGACAACATATTAATCTGGCTATTAACAATAGATGTGACCAACTACTCACTAATCTATAAACAGTATACTCAATCGACATAAAGATACAGTATACTTTGATAATATTAAAACCGATACAGACATTATCACTGAACCAAACAAAATTAAACAATATATATGTAATCATTATAATGAATGGACAGCACATCATCTATACAACAACATAATCTTTGATCAAGACTGAAAAACAGAATATCAACCCAAACCAGAAATACAAACAGCATGGTACGACTCTGCACTAAAAGAGATCAGCATAGATGAAGTTTTACAAACAATCAAACAATTACCTAATAATAAAGCATGTGGGCCATCTGGCATTAGTTATGAAATGATAAAACATATTGAACCTAATATGTTACATGCTATTACTACACTCCTTAACAGATGTATCAACACTCAAAATATCTCTAAACAATAGAAAGACAGTAGAATATACACTATTTCCAAAAAATCTCAATTTGATAGCAACTTCAATAACACCAGACCAATCAGTCTAATTGAATACATTAAAAAACTCTATACTAAAATTTTTACAAACTGACTCACCAAAATCTTTACAACACATGCAATACTCAATTTACATAACTATATTGCACTTCCTGGCAACTCAACAAACAATCCTATACATATTCTTAACAACTTTATAGAAGATGCTACATGTAACAAAAAACAGATATGGATACTTTTACAAGATATGAGCAAAGCTTATGACTCAGTCAATATACACCTCTTTGTTAAAGCTTTACAAAGACTCAAAATGCCTTCACAACTAACAAATATTCTACAAAACCTTTTATACAACTGACACAACCAAGTTATTACTAACTTTGAACTTACAATACTATACTTGGTAAAAGACAGTATTGATCAAAAAGAAACCATAACACCCTTACTCTGGTGAATTTATTATGATCTATTAATCACCCACATATATCATAAATACAAAGGATACACCTCCTCAGTTTAATAGTCTACACAACTTAATCCTAAAAAATTCTAAAACAAATTTACATCAACCTCTGTTTTGGCCTACATAGATGACACACTATGGCTTAGTTCATCTATAATCTGACTCCAACAAATAACCCAAACAGCTGCATCCTTCTACATAATGGCTCATATTAAAGTAAACCCACAAGAATCTATTTTAATCTCAAATACCAACATGACACCTCAAATTAACTTTATGAACCAGACTATTCACACACAATTTATACATACACTATTCAAATTTCTAGACTGCTGGTTTATAGCCACTCTTAAATATAGTAAACAAATCAAACTTATCAAACAAAAGGCATCAGGATTTAATGACATACTCAAAACTAAAAATATAACAGACAAACAAGCCACCTATATTATTAATAATGTTATCATTCCAATTATTAAATATCGTATTCACAATATAGTAATTTCTAGAACTACCTGCAACTCAATATTATCTTCATATCTTATCATAGCCAAACACAAAGCTAAACTACCTATTACAACACTCAACAGTATTATGCTTAATCATAATATCTATGGAATCAAAAATATTTGGAACATTCAATTACAACACCACATCTCCAACTTTTTACTCAGAATAAATAACCAAAACCTTACAGGTATTAGTACACATATAAGACTGCAACAACTGCAAAACAACTTATGGTCAACTACTAACATTCTCCAACACCTGCAACCCCTAATCGATGGACCAAATAAGAATATCACCACCTACAAAATAATATTACTACTGAATCAACTTCAACTTAATATAAGCATACACCTAAACTCTGCACAAATCCACACACTTCAATATCCTTACACACCTATTGAACAATTTCTAAATACATATAAATTATATCTATCTTTTAAAAAACAACTACATACAAAAAATATTATATATCTTGAACAGCTGATATTATATGACAATACAACTTTACTCAACTGATTACATATTTCACCTCGGCTACAACAACTACCTAAAGGCCGTAAACCATTATGGTTTATGTTACTAGAAAATAATATTATCACAAACCAACAAACCAGATCAATCAATACTCAACTTCAACTACCGAGTATAAATACCCTATCCTTTAATACTAGACACTATAAAACCAAATCTAAATCTTGGTTAATCTCTTATAATAACACAGGTCGAATACCAAAATATCGGACAAAATATCGGCTGTCCGATATTCCTATATATAATAATGATATTTTATCAAAATATCTATAAGAGATATAGGTCGACTATATCTTGCCAAAATCGGATTGAAATTTTAGTTTTTGAACCGAAAGTATTAGTAAATATTAGCTGAAAAATATCTCGCCGAAATTAGCTGGTATTTTGAAGAAACAGGTATCGTCCATTAATATTATTTTAAAAAAATATATATTATTTTTATATAATACAGTCAGGGATTATTGAAAATTTGTAGATCATTTCTAGAATAGTCTACGATCATCCCCCGAAATATAATTAGCCTTCTTATAAAAAAAGTCATGATATTTCGTCAATCTAATACGTAACCAATACGTAACAAAAGTCGAAACTAGTTATCAATATATATATTTTTAAGCACGTACTTTAAGAATCCCTGGAGATCCCTGAAACTTAACAAATTAGTTTTTTCACAAATTCAAAGTTTAAATTTTATAGTTCGTAGATTGATCAACCATGAATT